CTATGATCATCAATTCGCTTAGCAAATCTAACAATTAAAGCACACAATGCAGACTTTCTATGCTTCAAGACCATCCAAAATCGTTCTTCATCACCCCTATAGAGTTTTGAAATGCCATTGAGCTCCTTCAAGATGGCAAGATACTGCAACCACCCACAGAGAGCACTTTCAGCTTCCCCATTAACTTTCACAGCCAAACATTCTTCCACTCTAGCAAGGCAATCATCTATATTATTCATCAAATTATTAAATATGGCATGAAGGTGATCAAGCTCCTCACAACTCCTCTTCTGCGACTGAATAGCCATGGGAGCCTGAAATCCTGCTTGGTTAATAGCAGTCCGCAAAGGGCTCAAAAATGACGAAAAATCACGCACATCATTTGATGATGGCCCTGTGCCACTTCCCATGCCCGCAGCTGACCCTATACTTGACTTCATATCCTCACACAACCTGTCAGCCAATTCACTGACAAACGGGAAAATCTCTTGAATCACAAGCAGGCCTTCACCCTGCTCCCCATGCTTCAACCCCCTCGTGCTGCTGTCAGCACTCTCCAACAGGAACCCCAGAGTACTCCGGCAAAACTTATATAAATTATCCTTATCCTTATCCTTATCCTTATCCTCATTGACAACCTTCCTAAGCAACTTGCAAAACTCTAATACCATAGGCGTGCAATAACTATGCAGATGTTTTGATAATGAAGTTTTACATGAATTTAGGAACAATTTAATGGAAGTCTCTGCACACCTTCTGTTTTCATCAATTGGAGACATATAGAGCGTCACCAGAAACAACGGGGCTGACGAGACCATAAATATCTGCAAATGAGCAGGGGCGGACTCATTATCGTCCTCGGGCACCAGATTGAAGAATTTCTGCACGCCATCCTTAACATACTGTAGATTACAAGGGGACAGGTCGCCTCGGCATAGGCGACAAATAGCGGAGATCATGTCGTCAATGGCTTGCCAGGCCTGGGGGTGGTTGGTGGACCGCATACGGCCGACAAGGTGAAGCCCGGCGTCGTTTTGAATTTCACAGTCGGCAAGGGACTGCTCCCACTGCAGCTGTTTGCCGCGATAAATAAGGCGCTGATCGTACACAGGAATTCTGGTCATCACGTGAATCCTCTCGTGAAGAGATTTCACAGTATCCTCCGAATTGGCATGGACGACGATGGTATTCCCCTCGGAGATCATCCGTATAAAGAATTGGAGGCGGGAGGAGGAACAAGTCGCCGACGAAGAAGGAGAACTGGACGAGGAAGCGCAGTAATTAAAGGAATCGGAGGCAAGGTCAGAGGCGTCGCCATCGGGCGAAGAACGGAGGTCAGACATGGGATCCTTGGCCGGAACAGACGAGAGAAACAAAACCCTGGCTAATAGTGGCGACGACTGAATGTAAATGAGAATGATAGGAATCTAATACTTACGGATAAAAGCAAATGTACATAGATGAATGTGTTTTTTTTTTTTTTTTAACCCCCAAGTCCACTCTCAAGTATAGAAACCAATTTCCTACTCAAAAAATGTAGGAAAACATTGTTTTTTAAAATTATTGATCAAAATAAATTAATATTATTTAATATATTACATTATCACACTTCAATTTTTTATTAAAAATAAATTTAAATGGCAAATGAAAAGTTAAGGTACGATGAATAACAAATAATTTATTTTAATCGAACAATTTGAATTGGCAATTTACATTTTTTAGAATGAATCTATGTATTATCCCCTACTTAGGTTGGGGGGTTTTGTCCTTTCCCTTTTTTTATGCATGTTTTGAATTTTGAAGAGTGAAGACGTGCTTAAGCAATTAAGCCCATAGTATTGGGCCGAACCTGCGAAATTGAATTTAAGTAACATAGTTTTAAGGCCCAATAATGGACGGGCATTTTATGATTTATCCACTCCGAGAAAAAGTTTATGGGTTAGGGGCATAATTAAAGTACAGCTTTTTTTTTAAAGTATTGGACCAAACCTGGCAAATCAAATTTAAAATAAGATAGTTTTAAGGCCCAATTACGGAAGGGCATTTTTTGTACTCCTGGTTTATGGGTTGGGAACAGAATTAACCTAATAAATTATCAGGCGTAACTTTTCTTTTCTTTTCTTTTTTTTTATCAGCAATTAAGTGTAACTTTTCGTTTTTTTATCTTAGTTGTATAATGGAAAATAACTATCTCTCATTCATTATCATACTCCACCCGTATACCATGTGATTCAAATCAGGATCTCCTACTTTCAACGAAAAAAAATAACTATTGAGTTATTTAGGTCGTTGACACAATAAGTGTAACTTTAATCAAGCTAATAGCTTTACAAGAGTGATAATCAGTAATTCGATATGAAGTTATGAACGGAAAAACAGCTAAAAGAGTTGTTAAGTTAAAATGTTAAAGGAAAATGTTATACTTACAATATCATATAATATTATAAGTTTATAACATGATATATAATTATATAGTTAACTATTCTCATTTAAAGGTTCATTTGTAATATTATATATATTTATTCATCTAATACCATATTTTACCCATTTATTATTATGTTATAATTATAAATTTATAATTTTACGTAACATTATAATTATAAAATTACTGAAATTTAAACTATTTCAAAGCGTGGAACTGCTGCTGCAGCATGCTTGCACGTTTGCGTTC